CCGAGGTGCTCCCTATGGGGCCGACCATGACCTGGCTCGCCTGCATCCTTATACGATGGCTTCCCTAAGAGCCCAAACTCCCATCCCCAACCTCTACCTGACAGGTACATTCCTTCACTTTGCCAGAATTTGGGCTTCCCTGACACAATCTTTTATTCCCATCCTCAGACCCCGCTGTTCCCATCGGCTCCCATATTAGGAGCTGGGCTACCTTGGGTAACTACAGTCCTGGGGTCTATCTGAAGCTGTCTCTCTTTTGGTGGCCCTGAAATGGAGGGATGAACACAAGAACCATTGCTTTCCCCTCCTCATGTGGGTAGACATTCATGGACCACTGCTTTTGATTTCTAGGCCAAGATATCTTCACGTGTGGGCTGGTAGGAGCCCTACAAGGGGCCTTGCTGTGCAGCAGTGCCATCCTGAAGAGGAACTTGTACTCGGATCTGCAGGCTCTTGGCTCAAAAGTCCAGGCACAACAGAAGAAGAAGATGAAGTAGCCCATTCAGAGCTAAGCCAGAGAACGGCACCTCCCCAACTTCTTTCTCATGGTGTCCTTCTGCTGTACTTCCTTGTGCATATATTCAAAAGCGCTTTGTTTCTGAATCCTGCTGCAAATCGAGTTCTCCTCTGTACCCTGCTAAGGCCTAGTGTGGGCTGCACAGCCCTGATGTCTCAAGATGAAGAATGTTCCCATGCCTTCCCCACACCCAGCACTGAGCAAGCGTCAAACACTCAGAACCCCTGAGGGTGTTGGCTATTGGAGTAGGTTGGTCCAGTTCTGTCCTGAAGCTTTTTGCTCTACCTACTCTAGTATTGTGCTGCTCCCCTCTGTCAAAGGGAAGGATGACCAGCATGGGTTTGGGGTGACAACTCTCAAAGTGAGAGCCAAGGGGCTCTCGGCCTTAAGCTTTGTCCTCAGACAGAAGCAGCCTGAAGGAGCATTCCAATCAGAGACGGACCAAGAGATACCACTGCACCTGCAAAATGTCCCTTACACCAGCCCGCTGAGATCTTGACTACAAAATGGCCAGCCTGGCAGGGAGGGGACGAGAGTGGAGACGTTGGGCCTGAATACAGGAAGCCCAATGATCACCGAGCCTAGCGATTGACATTTCTAGTTGCTGGCACATATTAAAAACGGAGTATTGGTTTCCAAATTCCTTGGAATCAGAATTCCTTCAGAGTCTGTAATATTTGAATACATACGAGATAACTTGGGGAATGGGCTCCCAGACTAAACGTCAAATTCATTTGTTTCATATACATGGATGAGGCACAACATCTTATGTAATATTTTTAAACTTGTGAGCATTGTATCATCTCTCACATGAGTTCCTACTATTACAAAGCTGCTTTGGGCTCTAGAGTAGGGATTCTCCATCTATAAGAATCAGTGGTGAAGATGGTGAAAGTTTAAAACTTTTCACTCAGGCTGAAAAGGCGCCAATTTTAATTCATTTACGCATGGTATTAATACATGCAGTGTTTCAGTTTGTCAATATCTGACGTTTATTTAGGTTTCTGTTCAATAACGACATGAAACTCCACTGAGATGCACTAGCAGCTCAGTAAAATAAACTGGAAAACACTTATTATACCACAGTAAGCTTTAAAAAAATAAAATTAAGCCATTACAGTTAAGTTACAAAGAGGTGAAAATACAAAACATGACTAACAGTGGCAATCTACTCATTGGGTAAAGAAAACAAGGAAAATAATTACAATATTCAGTCATTTACTTAACATGGTAGTCTGAGTTAAATTCCTATCACAGTGTGAGGAGGCTTCCTTCATGGGTGTTTGCTGTGCTCTGCAGGCTGAGAAGTTTCTCATACCCAAGTTTTCTCAGCCAAAATCCTTAGAGTTGCTGGGTGGTGGTCGCACATGCCTTTAATCCCAGCACTTCAGAGGCAGAGGCAGGCGGATCTCTGTGAGTTCGAGACCAGCCTGGTCTACAAGAGCTAGTTCAAGGACAGACTCCAAAAGCTACAGAGAAACTCTGTCTCGAAAAAAAAAAAAAAAAAAAAAAAACTAAAAAAAACAATACGTTGGGCAGTGGTAGCGCATGCCTTCAATCCCAGCATTTGGGAGACAGAGACAGGCAGATCTCTGTGAGTTCGCGGCCAGCCTGGTCTACAGAGCAAGCTCCAGCACAGGCTACAAAGTGACAGAGAAACCTTGTCTTAAAAAAAAAAAAAAAAAAATACTTACAGTAACAGCTGAGCAGGAAACTAAATGTACCTGAGAGTCACCATGATGGATTTGGATTAAACCTCAACATCTCTGCCGCTTTTCCTTGTTTTATGAGAGAGGCTCTCACTGTGTAACGCTGGCTCTCTGGAACTTGCTATTCTAGACCAGGCTGGCCTCAAACTCAAGAGATCCTCCTGCCTCTGCCTCCTGAGTGCTGGGTTTAAAGGCTTCCTTCACCATGCCTGACTCTACAGCTTTCTTAAGGAAATGCCAAATTGAACCTTCCCAGCAAGACTTAAGAGAAAACTGAATCAGAGCGGGGGCCCGGTAAAACCCTTCCTCGTTCGAATGGCTCAGAACATGTGCAAAGCACGCCAGGCCCTGGAGAAGAGAGAAGAGCAAGCATCACTACCAGGGGAGTTCTTCAGAGCACAGAGCTCCGTCTCCAGGGAAAACACCTTAGCACGTTTAGTTAGCTGTTCGGTCCAGAAGTGGCTTCTATAATCCATAGCAGAAAACAAACTATTAGCATCTGTGACAAGCAGGTTCCCATTACAAAACTGCCCTTCAGCAACTGAGCAGAAAGCAAGCTGAGAATAGCCTACGGGAGCACTGCTTGAGACTCCGTGTGCTTCCATAGGCGAGCCCAGCCCTGGTGTGGACGCCTCAGCTGGGCCGGCACCATCCACACAGTCTAGAAAATCATGCTTCAAGTGGTCTACCTATAGAAGACAACCTCAAATGACTTTCTGTGTGGGAGCCATCCCCTTCCAGTGCAGCTTTTCAAGTGAGAGAAATCCCGCTGTGTCTGCCAACACAGGGAACAGTGTCAGCAGTCCAAAGGGAGAGGCTCTGCGGACCCTGGGAATATGTCGTGTGTCTGTCCTCTCACTGTCCATCTTGGTTCCTAAAAATCTATCTTAAGTCTTGCCTTCGAGAACAAGAGTCAACAAGTGTACGGTCTCAGCAACCCGTGACCTGGAAGAGCTGTATGAGCCCCAGGTTCAGATACACTTCCAACAGGAAATTTGACCCTCGAATCCCTGGTGGGTACAGGGGTGGAGGTGGAGGGTGTTAACCATACTAGACAGATAGGACACCAATGGCTGTCTCTCAGGGCTTAATTTTCTTGGGGAGATCACAGTGACATCAGAACAAGTCATGCTGGAGATCAAGAAGAGGCAGACAGAAGGAGCTATCAGTGAGCAGTGGGAAGAGCCGATCCACTGGGGAAGCTAGGAAGATATATAAGCCTGTGAGCTGAGTCCTTCAAAACACAAGCACCTGAGTGAGCCGAAAGGAGGGGAAAACTAACCAAGAGCACCAGGAGAAGCTGGAACACAGAGGACATGATGAAGGCAGAGGCAGACAGGGAGTGTGGCCTGAATGATGAAGCCAAGGAATCTAGTCGAGAATACAACTCCAGACAGAAGCTTCAGACCAGGGCACACATTCTGGAAAGATCCATGTTCCCAATCCTGGCATTAGAAAATGTCAGGAGAACCAGTTCAGGTGATTCCTGAAAATTAATGGAGAGTATACTTAGTTTTTTTTAAAGGGGGGTGGGAGGATCTGTGACAAGAAAAATGTTATAGTTAGCAGTGTGGAGTTTTCAGATGATTAAAGAATCTGAAGAACAGATAGAGGAGCTTGACAGGTACAAGAGAGAAATTCTGAATGGATGACAAGGAGACAATGTATTTTTAGCGTATAACTGAAGTGGGTTCTTGGGAAGTATGCATCCCAAGAGCCCATATAAAGAGTCACAGAGAGGATAAGGGATGGATGGATTAGTTGAGGAGACCAAAGCAATAGAGACATGGCTCTGTGCACTTTCCCTTCCCACAAGATAAGTCAAAGCACAATTTGCAAGAGACACTCATACTGTCAAAATGCGTGGACCCTAGCATCCACTTATCAAGCGTGAAGAACAAGGTGTGAAAATGAGCTGCTTAATCTGGAGATCTGATAACTGAGTAACCTTAGAAACAGTAGCAAAACAGATCAAGACAAGCCAGAAATGTCAGAAAGAGTAGGCAAGGTAATGGAAGCAACAGCAACTAGAACAGGATAGGTAATAGGCATGCCTAAGAGACTGGAGGTAAGCATGCAGAGGCGCACAAACAGGAAGAGGAAGAGAAAATGAAGAGGGGGAGCTAGAGAGGTGTTAGGAAAAGCTGAAGGAGAGTGAGAAGGGCTTCCTCCACTTGGAAAAGTTAATAGAAGATTTGTGTACGGCTGAGAAAACGGTAGCCATGATCTTACTCTTAGAAGGCAACCCGCCAAGAACACAAACTTCACGCACTTGCTGCAGTCCGTACAGGGAAAGAATTCCACATCTTCTTCAGACTGAGTTCTCCCATCGTGTTTTCCCTTTTCCCAGTCTTTCCATATCCCTGAGATTAGCTGAGGCTTTTCTCTCTTTAGGCATGACTACACAGACTGCAATAAAACTTCAGATAGACACAGCATAATCAAGACATCCTCAATTATATCAGGGAGCCTACTTGGTCTCTTACAGCTTCATGACCAGATGCCAGAGGAAAGATTTTACTCATTACCTTGGCATCTTAGATGAGAGGACCATTAAACAGAACAAGAGAAATTTGGAGAGTGTAGTTACTTCCTAAATATCTATCTATTATAGGCAAAAAAGGCAAAATGGAGTTTTTGGAAAACCTTTCATACATACCAAATCCCTCCTATGTGTTTCCTTGCACTAATATGAACCTGCCCCTTTCCAAGGACTTCCTTCCTATTGGGGTGACCGTATGCAAGAATACACCAGTTCAATGATCATCACCATATTAAGCAAAACAAAGCAAAAACCCATGGAACCATGATTTTACTTCCAGAAACCCCAAGTTCCTTTTATGCTAGTACAACCAGAGTGCAAACTTACAGAAAAATAGACAGTCAAGTGGGTCAGACTTCAGCACTCTTTAAACCTGCTACGCTGGTTTGCAGCTGAGGCCTCTACAGAGAATAAGGGTTCAACCCCTTTCTGCCCATCAGAATGGCACCCATCATCTTCTGTTTCTTGTCTAGAAAGCATCTCTCTGCAGCTTCCTCCTAGAGTTGCAAAGATAAAGCGGCTATGGGAGTGGTCCATCGTGAGCCTGCCTAAGGGAGGGGCTTCCTTTAGTCAGTCACGTTTTCACGTGCTCCCTCCTCACGCTCCTGGAAGAACGAATGGCGGAACACACCAGCATAAAGGAAACACAAAAGTATAAACACCACCAGAGTACAATGTCACCAAAGTGCAGGTGCAAAACCTGAAGCAATCCCATCTCTGCTGGCCTGGACTTGCCACAAACCCCAGAGAAGGTCAGTCTTTTCATTTTTCTTGATTCAGGAACAAATCAGCAGGGAGCACAAGGTTCTTGCAGACAAAAAAATAATCAAAGCTGAAATGAGAACAACACATTTCGTTGGTAACGTTCACCTTTTTCAGAAACATATACTAGTGTTGTGTTTTTGAAAGTGAGGTTCAGGAGAACTGCCTGAATTAAACTCATCCAACACAAGACGGGGTAATGGGGTAGTGGTAAATATCAACTACAATACACACACACACAGACACACACACATACAGGCACACACACGAAAATATGCAGTGAAAATATGTAATTAATACCTGCTAATAAAGAAATAAATCCGAAATATGATGGCAGGTAGAGAGAATTAGTGGCTTCTACTTTATACTCTATTTTTATTGTGAATAATTTTTATGTACATTGTTTTCTTTCCAACTAAAACAAATTAAGGAGGAAAAAAATCCTTAAGAGCCCATTATGAAGGAAAGAAGCAGGCTAGAGCAAACTGTGGGGCTGACCTATTTATGACAGGTTCTGAGCAGAGTCTGTAGTGCTGTCAATTGTACCGGTGAACTGTGCCCTGCAGGAAGTCTGGGAATCGTTCCCATCTGGGTCACCAACTGTTCTTTGTCAATGTCCTTTCTGTTGCTTAACAGAACAGGGCAGGTGCCTGTTGTAGCCACCTACCATGACTAGCCAGGTGCCTGTGGGGAGAGCTTTCCTCAGCTCCTGCTGCTGTGTGATGGACAAGGCTCCTCTTCCTGGCAGAGACAGACTGGCCATAATCAGGAGAGGCAGCCTGCAGTACTGACTTGTAGCCATCTCTCCAGCCCCAGATCTGGATGTTTAATGTTTACCGCAATGCTCATGTGTCAAGAGCTGAAACAGTGCAAGTGGTGTTTAAAAGTGTATGCAGTTACTAGAGGTGCTGATGTTGTCTTTGAGTGGAAGCCTAGGGCAAAAACAGACAGACAGATAAACAAGTCATATTTCCAGGAGATCTGTTATCTGTCAAGTGTGAAAGTACTGAAAGGCTTCTAGCTCAAACTTTGTAGATACATGTACACTGTACAGATGGTACAGATGGTCCTGTTTGCAGTTTCCAAAGACTGGGCGACAAAGACGGCAGCATCCCCAGAATTGGCCCAACTGAAGTTTCGTATCCTTCCTAGACCTGGCTCCTTCTTCCTTACCTTTAGGTTTAAACGCTGGTAGTCACTGGCCTTTGGTCTCCGAGTGACTTTGGATCTTTTTCCTTCTAGGGCAAAAGCAATAATCTGAGGAAAGGAAAAAGAAAATAGATTAACATTTGGCTCTGTAATGATGTACTTTAGCTCCTGAAGCCAGAGGCAGTTACCTAGCTCCACAAAGAGGCCTATTTAAATTTTATTCTCTCTCTCTTACTTTTCAGTGCTGGAGTTCAAACAAGGCATAGGAGGCAAATGCTGAATCAAGCGTGGGATACTGCAATGTAGTAAAATGTTTGCCTAGCATGCACATAACCTGAGTTCAACCCCCAGCACCATAAAAGTAAGCAATGAAATTGTAAAGGTTTTAAAGGGGCTTGGTTACAAGAAAATCCTTTATACTATTTAATAGGGAACAGATGGAGGGTGTAGCCTGTGGGAATCTGTACGACTTAATTGTGGGGATCGAATCCAAGGTCTGCCAGTCCCCTTGCCAGAGAGCTCTAGGTCAGGTCCTTCAGGAAAAAAGAGAGAGAGAGCATAATCACTGCCTGTTTCCTAGCTACAAATGCACGCTTTGCTCCCACACCTTGCCTCAACAGCATCACTGATTTGCTGCTCTCATCACAAGCATGTGGGTATGGAATGAAGCCTGTGCCTTTGTATTAATGGTCCGTCTTCCCTTGTTCTTTATAGCATATGCCTGATGGCCATTACAAATTGAACTCTCCCATTAAGTCAGGCTACTGAAATTATCTTCAAAATCTCACACAACCATTTTGTCATCAGAGTTGTTTCTAAAGGACACGGGTGCCACTTTAACCACAAAGATGGGTACATTTATGCAATTTCCTCTTGCTGGTTGCAGAAGAGCTGCCCTTGGGCTTTATGGCACTGGTATTAGAGACTAGGTAATGAAAATATTCTTTCTGCCTACAGATGGAAGACAGTGGCAGTAGAAGTTAGAAATGGCAAACTGTCTCAAGCATGGGAAAAAAGGAAGAGGCCTCTTTATCAAGAACTCGGCCTACAGAGGTTGTGAAAGACCTGAGGTCCAAGTTATGGGAGGAGAATCTCAATTAGGTCAGGTCACAATTCATGTCCAACTTGGCACTTTACAGCAGAACTCTCAGGAAACAGGTCACATGATGAAAACACATGATTTACAAAACTAGAGTTTCATAAGCCCTAGTCGGGTCTGAAAAAAACTGAAGTTGATCTTGACACTCTCTGAGCCCACAAGCGGATGAGTGACAGACAGCTGTCCATGACCAAGCTCTCAGGGTTAGGGAAATCCCAGTCTCCTCTTACCTTCCGCTTGTTGTGGTAAGCAATATAGAGGACAGCAACAAGGACAGCTGCGGTCACCAGATAGGCAAAGAAGTGGCTGCTCTCGGCACTGGTGCTTGCAGAACTGTCCTTATAAGAGATATCCTTCTCCTCATTCACAGACTCTATAAGCGGTCCCTCTCGGTTCTCACTGGAGGAAGGGTCCAACACCTTTACACCCTCTTCTTCAAGTGGCGAGCCCTCTTCTGGCTCTACCTCACTCTCTTCCTTGGCTTCCACAGCTTCAGTAGGCTCTGAATACTTCTCTCCTCCCTCTGGCTTTAAAGAGAAGTCAGAGTCTCCTGCTGGTCTCTCCCCAGATTCAGTTTTGGAAGTAGGCGTTGATTTCTGTCCTTTTCCAGCTAGCTCGGTTTTCTCAATCTTGGGGGTCTCCTGATTTGAGGAGGGTTTGGAGACGGGCTCATTGGAATCAACTTTTGTGGGCTTTTCCGGATCAACTTTTGTGGGCTTTTCCGGATCAACTTTTGTGGGCTTTTCCGGATCAACTTTTGTGAGCTTTTCCGGATCAACTTTTGTGGGCTTTTCCGAATCATCTTTTGTGGGCTTCTGCCCAGATTCTTTCTGTTTGGTGTCGGCTGGCGGGGGCTGTTGTGCAGACCCCGTTGACTTGGTATCTGTTTTCTCGGGCTGAGTTTTGGGATCAGACGACTCGTCTTTGGGGGGATCGGTTGCAGTGACCTGCTGTCCAGATACCGCCGAACTGGAAACTGCTGCCGTAGTCGGCTCCACCTGGTCTCCGGCAGCGGATGGCTGTTGTTTCTGCCCCGTCGGACTGCCAGGCATTCCCGACTTAGAAGGCTCTACCTTCGTAGGAGGCGGGGACGTAGCTTTTACTTCAGGAGACTCATCTGTTCTTGAGATGGTGTCTGAATCAGGAACAGGCAACAGAAAAGACAGTGAGTCCTCGGAAGAAAAGGCCGGGAGAAGAGAAGGGGGCTTGACTTCTCAGAGCGGGAAGAGCCCAGCGGCGATGGCCGAGGGAGAAGGTAGGAGATGGCTAGAGGGTCGGGTCAGGCAAGGAAGCCGCCAGCTCCGGAGACGAGCCGCCGAGGTGAGGACGGGGGGGACCTAAGGGACAGAGTGGGATGGGCGGGGGGGGGGGGGGGGGCTCTTACCCTCCACTGCGACACTTAGCAGGAGCAACGCAACCAGGAGCCGCATCCTGTACTCTTCGCTTCCGCCCTCACTGCTGACGTGAGAGCGGCGCAGGGGACTTGGAGCGCGTGGCCCCTCCCTTTCCGGCGGGCTGTTCCTCTTCCGGCGCAGCCCCCCCCCCTCCGAGGGCGGGCCATCGAGTCCGGGCCGTCCGCGGCTGTGTATTCCGTTAGGAACGGGCTGCGTGTCAAGCCCCGCTCGCCCTGTTTTTCTCAGCGCTCTGACGAGCTCTGCAGTCTCTTTCCTCTTCACTTGTCCTCGCGCTTTGGAAATTGTTCTGACCGGCAGCCACTGCGTCGCCTCTCGCGGCTCATGATGTGGGGTCTCGGGGACGGGAGCCGCTTCGCTGCGTCGTCGGCCCGGGTTTCTATCTTCTCCATTGCTTGTGGAGCTTTTCTCACTCCACACAAAATGTACCCTGTTCTGGTCTTTCCCGTCTAGAATCAAAATCATCACTTCGTTCCTGGTCGTAATCCTTTTCTTGACGGTCTCTAGGGCCCTTTGAATTTACCACGGATTTTCCCCCCTAAATTTTTATGTATTTGAGACTGTATTGCCTCAAGCTCGTGACTCCTGAGTGTTTAGAATTACACGACCCTCTTGAGTTATTTATTTAAGACATAGGATATCAAAAATTTATTTATTTGTGTGTACCATCTATGCACGGGTGCCCTTGGAGACTAGACGAGGACGTCGTATCCCCTAGAGCTTGAGCTAACAAGCAGTTTAGAATCATCTACATGGGTGCTGGGAACTGAACTCTAGTCCTTTGGGAGAACAGCACATACCCCTAACTGCTGAGCCATCTTTCTAATCCAGAATATAAAATCTCCTGTTGCCCAGATCTACTGGATTACATACAGGCTTGTATTCCTCAAACCCAATTTACATGGTAATAAGATTTTGTGCACACTAGACAAGAACTCTGCCTCACCTCAGCAATTTTTGTTGTTGTTTTCCAAGACGGTTTCTCTTTGTAGCCCTGGCTATCCTGGAACTCACTCTGTAGACTAGGCTAGCCTCAAACTCAAATATGCCTGCCTCTGCCAGAGTGCTGGGATTAAAGGTGTGAACCACCACTGTCTGGCAGCAACACATTCTTTTTTTTTATTATTATTGTGTATACAATAGTCTGTCTGTGTGTATGTCTGCAGGCCAGAAGAGGGCACCAGACCTCATTACAGATGGTTGTGAGCCACCATGTGGTTGCTGGGAATTGAACTCAGGACCTTTGGAAGAGCAGGCAATGCTCTTAACCACTGAGCCATCTCTCCAGCCCCAACACATTCTTAATAATCCAAACAGCGAAGAATATATTTCTACTTTGCTGTTTGGGTTATTAAGAATGTATATATATATATATATATATATATATATATATATGTGTGTGTGTGTGTTATATGTATATATTATATATATATATATTCCTTAAATTCTTTTTTTAAATTTTTTTCTAAAAAAATTCTTTTAGGGAAGCCTGGCAGTGTGGCATATGTCTTCTAGCACCCAGGAGGCAGAGGCACAGGGATCTCTGAGTTTGAGGCCAGCCTGGTTTAGTTTCAGGATAACCATGGCTACACTGAGAAATCCTGTCTTAAAAAAAATTCTTTTGGGGCTAGAGAGATGGCTGAGTGGTTAAAAAATGGTAACTGCTCTTCCAGAGGACCTGAGTTCTATTCCCAGCACCAACAAGATAGCTAACAAAGGTGTGTAACTCCGGTTTCGGGAGATTGGACACCCTCTTTTGGCCTCTACAGACATTGCATGCATACGGTGTACAGACACACATGTAGATTTTTTTTTTAATTTTTGCTTTCTGCCCACCTATGGGTTGCTGTTTGCATTCAGCTCTTGTGTCATCTGAGGTAGTGCTGGGTTGTTGAAACAGGGCGCTTGAGATCGTTGATGAACATTTGCCAGGTTAGATGTTTTATAAACAGCGATTTAACAAATAGTAGGACCTAGCTCAAACTACAAGTCCCAACAACCATGTTCGTTTTATTTTTTTGTTGTTTGGAGACAGGCAGTCACAGTGGGCCTGGAACTCACTCGAAAGACCTTCAGTTGGCACCAGTCTTCCTTCCTCTGCCTTAGAAGTGTTGCGATTACAGTTGTGTGCCTTCATGCCCGGTTCCATGGTCCTTAATACCCCGGGGGTTTAAGACAGAGGCTATTCTAAGTAAAATTGTCATATTATTGTTTTATGTGTATGTGTATTTTGTCTCCCTTTGTGCTTATTCATCATGTCCCCTTTCTGGGACCCAAGGAAGCCAGAACAGGGCATCAGATCCTTTGGAACTGGAGTTAAGAGATGGTTATGAGCTACCATATGGGTGCTGGATATTGACCCTGGGTCCTCTGGAAAAGCAGCTCTCTAGTCTCAGAGGCAAAGGACCTTTTGAACTACCAGAATTTAGAGGCCAGTCTGAAGAACAAAGTAACACTCAGTCTCAAAAGTAGATGGTCATGATGGGGCACACCTTTAGTCTCAGCACTCAGGAGGCAGAGACAGGAAGATCTCTGTGAGTTCAAGGCCAGCCTGTTCCACAGAGTGAGTTCCAGGACAGCCAGGGCTACACAGAGAAACCTCGTCTTGAAAAAAACAAACAAAAAAAAGTACATAAATAAGTAAGACTTTAATTTCATAGAGCTTGCAATCTGGTGAGGCCCATAAACATTATATAGATGTTTGTCCATGGTGGCTGTAATGGTTAATTTTTATTGTCAACCCGATGGACTTTAGAATCACCGTGGAAAGAAATCTCTGGGCATGCCCGTGAGAAGTTATCTAGGGGCGGTTAACTGAGGTGGGAAGGCCCACCCTGGATGTGGACATTAGTATGTCCTGAGCTGGAGTCCTGGACTGAATAAAATGGAAACCAAGCTGAGCACAATATAGAACTTCAGCGTCTCTCTGATTCCCGACTGTGGATTCAGTGTGGCCAGCCACCTCCTTCCTCCTCTTGCTGCTGGGATTTCCCTGCCACGGTACACTGTGTATTCCTGGGAACGATAAGCCGAAGTCATCCTCTAGATTTCTTTTGTCAAGTAGTTTACAATGACACCCAGACAAATGAGTGCGCTCCAAGAACTGCCAAGCAGAAATGTGAGAAGTGGGTATCAGCTGAGAATGATCGCTGGGCCCGAGGACCGGAGGGTGTAGATATTCCTGGGACTGATGAAAGGGGAGAGGGGATGAGGACCAGCGCATGCCGGCAGTGGGGAGCCTGGTGTTGCTGGGAAGCCTAAAGAGCAGGTTTGCTGGTAACAAGGAGCGTCGAGAAGAGTCTGGAAGAGAGCCAGGCCGAGAAACAAACCATCCGGGAGTGGCGCAGGACATAAGTCCTTATGCAATAGAAAATCTGTCAACCAACTCTGGTCGAACGGTAAGCTGGGCCAATTCCAGCCAAAGAGGACTCACTCTGTGAGAGACCTGAATGTAATATGATAGGACAGGTAGTCCTGGGTGGCCGAAATTTTTCCAAATTTCAAAATAGCACATGACACGAACACAGTTTCAGAAACAAGCGCTTTTTCTGTTATTTGTATAAAAGTCTCTTTAATGACCTCCTTGCCACCTCTCCCCTCCTTTTCCCCTCTCCCCTCTTCTTACATTACTGAAGAGAGAATAAAAAAATCACAGAAGTGTGAGGAGTCTACCAGATTATTTCAGGGACTGGACCTGCCTGGCCTGTGAGAGGCCCTGGGTACAGTCTCCAGAGCTAAAAAAAAATCTTTAGAATGTTGACTCTGCCTTGGCTAGAGGAAGTGAACTGGCAAATGAATCTTTTTTTAAAGGAAACTTCTGTCCGCCTGCTTTAAGATAAATGTTTGACTAACATTTAAGGATATTGGCTTAGTGAGGGTGTGGGCGGGTGGGGAGGGCAGTGGCAAATGATTAAACCTGACCTGGTGTCCACGTTACTAGGCAGGGGAGGAAAATCGTTCTGCTCCCACAGAGCTCTTGGGCATTTGTGTTTTATCTAAACAGTAGAAGAACCACTGAAGAGGTTCAAGCAGGGGCAGGGCGGAGTCAGAGTGGAGAGTGTGTGCCCATTACTCTGCTCAGGTCGGAAAGAGTTGGCTAGGGCAGTGGGGAAAAGGAGACTGTTGCAGTGTTCCAGGTGGTGCGCAGCCCAGCGAGAATGATGGGAAGGAGTCAGAGTGGAGAGGAGACTGGGGAGCTGTACCAGCATGCTTCCCAGAAGGACCGGAAAGGAGGCAGGAGTTCTCTGTGAGTTCGAGGCCAGCTTGGTCTACAGAGTTCCAGGACAGGCTCCAAAAGCTACAGAGACTCTGTCTCGGAAAAAAACTAACTAAATAAATAAAATACTGAGAGAAATACTCAGAAATACTCAGAAAGATTCAGCAATTTGCTCAAGGTTAGGGTTGTTGTTTTTTTTTTTAATCAAACTTCTGATAACAGGGAGCTATTTTCTTTTTCATTCTCCTTCCTTTCTCTTCCCCCTCCCCCAGCTTTTCCTCTCATCTCAATATGAGGCCCACACTTCTCTCTAACTCCTGGGCCCAGGTGATCCTCCACCTCAGCTTCCTGAGTAGCAGCAACTACAGAGACCAGCCAGCACTAGTATTAACCTGACTTTCTCCTTTACATTTTTGTTAACATATGAAGAATTAAGTTACTTTGTGGCATTTTATTTTAGTTGATTTTCTTTCTCCCCAATCCTGAGAATTCATAATGTGTCAAATTGATAGGAGAAAAAGAGTTCTTGATTTCCTGAATATGTGTGCGTGCGTGTGTGTGTGTGTGTGTGTGTGTGTGTGTGTGTGTGTAGGCCAGAGAACAACCTCTGGTGTCATTCCTCTGGTACCATCTGCCTTTTACAAGGTCCTGCATTGACGTAGAAATGACCAAGTATGCTAGGCTTGCTGGCCAGTAAGCTTTGGGGCTCTACCTGTCTGCACCTCCCCAGCAGTGGGGGTTTCAAACTCACCCAACTTTTTAACATGGGTTCTGAGGATCCGATTTCAGTCCTGTTTGTAAGGTAAGCACTTTACCGACTGCGCAATCTCCCTCTTGTTCTTTCTGTCATCTGTGTATCTATTGAAGCCTGTATGTGTATGGGTGTTTCGTCACTATGTGTATACCTGGTGTTGTGGAGGCCAGAAGGTGGCATCAGATCCTCTGGGGCTGGAGCAATAGACTGTTGTGAGCTGCCACATGGGTGCTGAGAATTGCAAGTGGGTTTTTAGAAGAGCAGTAAGTGCTCTTAACTGCTGAGTCATCTCTTCAGCCTCTGTTTGTTTGTTTGTTTGTTTGTGAGACTAGGTCCTACTAAGTTGCTCATACTAGTCTCCTGATCTTCCTGCCTCAGCCTCCTGAGTGCTGGGATTACAGCGTAAATCAATAGGCCCGGCTGCTGACTGGTTTTCCTTACTACTTAATTCCTGCACAGATAGCTCACATGAATGTGGGTCATCACTTAAGAACTTTGCCAGTTCCTTCATTATGAATGAGAGATAAAAATGTTAACTCTTAGGGCTGGAGAGGCGGCTCAACAGTGAGAGCATGGGTCGCTATTGCACAGGAGTTGGTTTCAACTTCCCCGCATCAAGCACATAATGGCCCACAACTAACCATAACTCCAGTTCGGGGGGGGGGGTTCAACACCATCTTCTGGCTTCTGTGGGCACCAGACATGTATATGCATACATGCAAAATACCCATACACACAAAAAATAAAAACATTTAGCTGGGCAGTGGTGGCGTGCACTTTCAATCCCAGTACTTGGGAGGCAGAAGCTGGTGGATCTCAGTGAGTTCAAGGCCAGCCTGGTCTACAGAGAGAGTTCCAGGACAGCCAGGATTGCTACACAGAGACACCCTGTCTCAATAATAATAATAATAATAATAATAATAATAATAATAATAAATTAAATATTTGAGAGTTAGATCAATTGTGTACAATGTTTAACAGTTCATAGCCTATACTTAAACTTCTAAAGTTATTGTTATAAATAATATACTCCATATGGAAAAGTTAGAAAATGAAGATTAAGTCAAAATAAGAAAATAATTTTTAAAAAAATTTTTTTCAAGACAGGGTCACTCTGTAGACCAGGTTGACCTCAAATTTACAAAGATCACCTACCTCTACCTCCCAAGGGCTGGGATTAAAGGCAGAATTTTTTTTTTTACCTAGAGTTATTGTTGTGAACATTTTTCTAGTCATATATGTGCACATGATAGCTAACTGAAAATACAGCAAGGTATCAACCATATATATATATATATATATATACACACACACAATCCACCACGCAGGACTCCTTGTGGATGCCAGTGCTCTGTGAGTCATATCTGGGACATCAGCGTCTCCTTGATTTCCACTAAGTTTTTCTTCTCAACATCCTCGGAACGCTCTGATCTGTCACAGATCAGCTCTTTGAGAAGGAAGGGGAAATGAACAGTACCAAGCAGCAGAGGCTGAAATAAGATTCCCGATTAGATGTTGTGCTGGCTAGTTTTATGTCAACTTGACACAAGCTGGAGTTATCTGAAAGGAGGGAACCTCAATTGAGAAAATGCCTCCCTAAGATCGGACTGTAAGGCATTAGCTAAATTAGTCACCAGTGGGGGAGGGCCCAGCCCATCATGGTTGGGGCCATCCCTGGGCTGGTGGTCCTGGGTTCTATAATAGAGCAGGCTGAATAGACCGTAGGGAGCAAGTCAGTAAGCAGCACCCCTCCATGGCCTCTGCACCAGCTCCTGCCTCCAGGTTCCTGCTCTGTTTGAGTTCCTGTCCTGACTTCCTTCAGGGAATGTAAATGTAAGGTGGAAGCATAAGCCAAATAAACCCTTTCCTCCCTAATTGGTCATGGTGTTTCATTGCAGCAACAGAAGCGCTAAGACAGATGCTTCAGCCAAGTGGTGGTGAGAGTTTGGCTGCAGAGGGGTCAGCAGTGACAACGGTGGAGCAAGCTAGCTGCCCTGGGCATGAGCAGGTGGAACACAGGGATCCTCCTGTGAGAGAACTTTAGTCACTAAGGGAAAGGAGTTGGGGAAGGAGGGAGAGAGGGGGAGGGAGGGAGGAAGGGAGGGAGGGAGAGAGAGCAGAGATAGTATGATCAATACAATAACGTACAAAGTATGAAAGGTGGAGCCAAAAGCATAGAGGTTGGATTTGTGGCGGTATAAGGAGTGATTTTTAGGTCTAGAGATTAAAACAACAAAATCAGAGCATTTCCACTGGCCTCAATTTTCTTCCTTTCCTCCTTCCTTCCTCCCCACCCCCATAAAGTATATTTATTTTATCTTATGTGCATGAGTGTTTTGTCTTCATGTATGTATGTGGGCATGTGGTGCCCGGTACCCAAGGGTCATGGTACTGGGTCCCCGGGAACTGAAGTTACAGATGACTGTGGGCTGTCATGTTGGTATTCAAACTTGGGTTCTCCGCAAGAACAAGGAGAGTTCTTCACCTCTGAGTCAGTCCTCCAGCCCTCCTTAACTTTCTCCTTCTTTGAGACAGAATCTCCTGTGTTCCAAGCTGGCCACACAATAGCTTTGTAGCCTGAGGATGACCTTGAAGTTGTGGTCCTCCAGCTCCTACTTCCTGAGTGCCTGGATCACGTGTGCTAGGAGGTGCTCCACCAACTGAGCTACACTCTCAGCCCTCAGTGTTCCAGATATTCTGAGAGGTAAGCCTTCTTTCAAGAGTGAGGAGGTAGAGACCATGTTGGGGCTGAGAGGGAGAATGAGCATAGATGCTGAGCAGGTACGGAGTGAGCAGACAAAGGGCAGGTGAGGAGGAAGGACAGGTGAGGAGGAAGAACAGGTGCGGAGGAAGGACCGGGTCTACCATGGCTTCTCCCCATGCCATGCTTCTTCCTGGGGGCAGGCTTGGAGGAGGCAGAGGATAGCATCACCTCCTAACTTACAGAAATTGCACTTGAAGGAAGAAGCAGAATTTCTTCTTCTTTCTAAAGTGTGTGTCGGGGGGGAGTCTTACTGTGTTGCCCAAATTGGCCTGGAACCCCAAGGTCAAGCCATCCTCCTGCCTCAGCGTGGTAGTTAGTCACTGTGCCTAGCTGAAAGCAGATTGTAGTAGGAGTCCGCTGTGTGTTCCTGGCTGCCCAGACTCCTGAAATAACCACACAGAAACAATATTATTTGCAATTCTCCCACATCAGTAGATTAATAAATCTTAAAATTTCTTTGTATCCCTTCATGATTAAAAAAACACCAACAACTAAGAAAAGGCAAAGTGTGGCCTCAACCTGAAGAGGGTGTGCATGGAACCTACCACTAACGTACTCAATGGAAAGAAATTGGAGACCTTTTTCTTTTTTCCAAAATAAGCAACGGTTTTCTCAACTGTTTTTTTTCTTATTTATTTTGTGTGTGTGTAGGTCAGAGGACAAC